TATGGTCAGATCCAAGGGCAGAGAACACCTGGGCAGCCGGCTTCCCTGGATCCCAAGCACCTGAGGGCAGGGCCCCCCTGGTCCTCAGATCTCCAGCTAGAGCAGACCTTTCTCGCCGGGGCCTGGGTGTGAGCCCTGCTCTGAATCCCTGGGGGCAGGATGGAGGGGGGGGTGCGGGGGTTGGGAGGCTGTGTTTTCCCCAGGATCCCTGTCAGTGGGCAGTCAGACAAGGCCAGGCGCTGCTGAGCTTTGCGACCAGGCCCCAGGCTGTGGAGTCCGCTCCCTCCTCCCACCTCCCAGTCCCTCCAGCCCAGGGAGCTGGCTGATCTTTGTGCTGTGGCCCACATCAGAGGCCCTTACTCACCCACCAGCCTCTCTGCTCTGCTATCTCCCACGATTTCTCCCTACTTTTAGGTACTTGAATATGAATACCACAGTTTGTAGTGTGGACTCTAGCTTGACTTATTCTCTATCTTATTTCTGTATCTTGAGGTGGGTCTTGCTATGTTGCCCAGGCTGGCCTTGAGCCTGAGATCTTCCTGTCTCAGCCTCCCGAGTAGCTGGGATTTCAAGAATGCACCACCACATCCGCTGGGTGTGCTACTTCTAGTGACACAGTTTTAGACTGCGTACAGATGTACCCATTTGGATGGCTGTCATTTAAAATACCGGCTACCACAGTAAGCTTTTGCACACGTTCTGCACATATGATCCTCAACAACTTGTGTGGGGGGACCTCATTTCCAGAATGAGGACACTAAAGCTCAGGGGGGCAGAGCCAGGACAGGGGTGAGCGCCTGCCCACGCTAACCATTAGACCACCCTGCCCGTGTGGCCCTGGGCCCTCTGTGCTGCCTGGTGCCTGGAGATGGACCCTCGGAGCCTCTTCTCGCAGCTCTGAGTGACGAGATCGGCTCAGATCCCACAAATAAACTTCTGGCCATACCACCTAGTGAGAAGCAAGTTCCGGGTTGTTTTCTTCCACCTCCCATTACAGCTGAGGCAGGACTGCTGCTTCTTTTAATGAGTAGCCCCAGGGAAGACATGGCGGCCAGGGCACTGGCCTTAAAGAGGCTGCAGGGTTTCGGCAGGGATGAGAACAAAGCTGGTGTCTCCCAGCCCAGTCAAATCCCCCAAGGCCTGCAGCTGGGGCTCCCACAGCGACTCCTCTGTGTTCGACCCTCCTCGGTTTGGGGATCGGGTGGCTGGGCGGGGACATAGCACACAGGATGATATTATCACTAATCTTAAACAACAGCTACTACAACCCATAACGTGTGCATATATAATTACCATTAGCAACACATAAAACTTGGCTAGGCTCAGTGGCTCTCTGGGATGCTGAGGCAGGAGGATCACAAGTTCAAGCCCAGCCTGGGCAACTTAGTGAAGATCCTTTTTCAATATTAAGAAAAAAAAAGTACTGGGGATATAACTCAGTGGGAAGGCCCTGGGTTCAATCCCCACTACCACACACACACACACACACACACACACACACACACAGACAAATATACACACAAATAATACGTATATCTAAATCTCTCTCTATATTTACAATAACATATACTTGTATATAATTGTATATTTAGCATGGCGATAAAGCTCAAAAAAGGTAATAAGTGTAAAGGAGTTTGCACAGATTCTTGTTTGCAGTCACTGTCCACTGTCCATCCCTTGGGTCAACAAAAGTGGTGGTGGTGCACGCCTGTAATCCCAGCACTCAGGACGCTGAGGCAGGAGGATCGCTGTGAGTATGAGCTACATAGTGAGACCCTTCTCAAAACAATGACAACAACAACAGCAAAATTTGCTTTGGGCCTGGAGCTGTAGCTCAGTGATAAACATGATCAGGGGATGCCAGGCCCTGGGTGCTATCTGAGACATCACACATGTGTGCGTGTGTACACACACATGCACAAAGGCACGCACGCATGCATGCATGATTTCTTTAGGCTTCTACCATCTTTCTACCCCCTTCCTTCCAGGCCTGGACCTCATTTTGTCCAGTGCTGATCCCTCCCCACTTCCGGAATAGCCCTGCTCTTTGTGCACTTTCTGTGGTTCTCACAGCAGCAGTGCTAATTCACACAGGAAGGGGTTCGCCCGGCTCCCCGTTCACCTGCTGGGCTCTGTGGGCCTTGGTCTGTTTCCTCGCAAGGCCGGAAGGGGCAGGGCCAGCGGGTGCAAGGCCCTGGACAGCTGGCTCTACGGAGGCGAACAGTGTCCTGAGAAGGAGCCAGTTTCCCGGGGAAGGCAGGGACCCTCACAGCCACTCGCAAGGTGCCCCTCCAACACTGCTCAGGGACCCGGTCTCACCGAGCGTTTGGGGCGAGCCTGTCTTCTGGTTTCTCCCTCCCACCCAGAGGGCCCTGAAGACTTCCTCCAGCTCCTAGTCCCACGCGGAACTGACCCTCCACTGCGTCCCAGGACTTCCTCCCCACACTTCCTGCCTCCGCGTCTCTGCACCGAGCCCCAGACCTCCGCTTCCGTGTCCCAGGGACGGCTCCAGGGACCCCTGTCCGCCCTCTACCTCTCCACCTGTCACCCCCCAGGGCTCAGGCCCCAAACCTGGGCACCTTCTTCCGCTCTTTCTTAGTTCCAACTTACACCAGAAAGGAAACAGGGTGTCTCTGTGAAGTCTCCGGAGACACCCCAGGGGCCCTAGCCCAGTCCGCCCAGCCCACCAGGCTGCTTTCTGTGTCTGTCGATTTCCTATCAGCACAGCCACACCCTTGTGCCTTCAGAGCCTGCGGTGTGTTCTCAGGACTCCTGAGGAAGCACAGATGGGTACTTTCCCCTCTTTCTGGCCCCATAATACTTTGTGGTTTGGTTCTATCACCTTCGGCTTTCTCTTTTCCAGCTGATGAGGACTTTTGGAGCCATGATGACTAATGTTGCTGTGAATATTCATGGGCGAGTTTGAATGTGACCCCGTACCCTTACTTCTCTGTGTATGTGCCTGGGCGTGGAATTGCAGGGTCACGGGATAATTCGCTGTGTGTGTATATAATATCTATATATATATATCTATACATATAGATACATATCTATATATATTCTATATATATATATATTTTTGTTGTTGTTGTTGTTGTTTGAAACAGGATCTCCCTACTGTAGTGAACATGTAAAACATAGGATTTTGTGACCCACAAAAAGCAGAATTAAGCAAAGTAAAACTAGAGTGAAATTAAGTGAGACTTGATAGCTGACAGCTTGGAAGCTGACAGCCTGGATGCTGAGTGTTAAGACAGATAAGAGTTTGCTGTGACATGTGGGGAATTCCCCCCCCGACCGTGTGCCGTGACACATGACTGCTGTGACATAAGATTAAGAGTTTGAAGTAAGGTAATGCGAGTGTTGAGGAGTTAACTTAGATAGAGCATATGGATGTATTAGATTAGAAATGACTTAAAGTATAAAAGGAGAAGACTACAGACAGATGACGTCGCTTGACGACTCCGTCAAGATGACCTGCTGAAGCTCTGCCCGAGACGCAGGAGCTTCCAGACCTGGAACAGAGGATCTGCATCCCTGCTCTGTCCGAGATGCTGACACGCTGTACCTGATCCTGACTGCCGAAACATCGAAGTCGCAGCTCGACCCTGCGAAGCCTGAGACCAGACTACATCTACCAGGTCGTATGCCCTCACCTATAGCATGATAGCATTTATGATTGTGTTAGAGATATTATGGGCTGGCATTATTTCTGGATTGCGCTGGCAATTGTAGTTGTATCCTTTGTGTGGGCTTGTATTTGTATTGTTAATGAGAGTAAAAGCATTGATCAAAACAAAACCGAATTGGCAATCATTGATGCGCTGACCCGTGATCCCGAAACGCAAATCGGTGCTCGCGACACCTACGTAGTTCAGCCTGGCCTTGAATTCACTATGCAGCCCAGACTGGCCTGGAACTCATGGCAATCCTCCTGCCTCAGCCTCCTGAGTGTTGTGATTACAACTGTGTGCCACCATACCTGACCAAAATTTTAACTTTTGAAGAATTTCAAAAGATGGCCTCGTCCACTGAATGGTCTTGGCATCCTGGTCAAAATCAATGGGCATCGGATGTGGGAATTCATTTTTGGGCTCTGAGCGCTGTGCTCTCACCAGGACTCCTTCCCACCGCTTCCTTCTCCCTCACCCACATCTGTCTGTGCAGCAGCAGCCTGGGTGTCCCTGGGAACTGGTGCAGCTCAGGCAGCTGGAAACCAGGTGGTGAGGGAGAGGGACACTGTTCTGTGCGGACAGACAGCACAGATAAGACATCAATGGAAAATCAAAGCCAGGCATCGCAGTACTCTGGGAGGCTAAAGAAGGTGGATCTCAAGTTTGAGCCCAGCCTGGGGCAATTAGCAAGACCTTGTTGCAAAAGAAAAAGAAAAAGAAAAAGAAAGGGCTGAGGACAGAGTTCAGTGTGAAGGCTCAGTCCCCGGTAACAGTGAAAAATAGAATGAGGAAAGCAAAGTGATTTCTGATAGCGATTAGTGTGAGCTGTGAAAAAAAAAAGAAGGCTGTGTGACAGATTCCCCAATGGAAAACTCCAGAGGGGACTGTCTCTACCCTGGGATGTGGGGAGGACCACTCTGAGGGGATAACATTTGAAATCTGAATGAGAAACTGACTCCAAAGGTGTGGGCTGAGGTATGCCAAGCAGAAGGGCAGAATTTATGTAAAGATAAAACTAATACCCAAGGAGGGGGCGATGGATGCATACAGAGCACTCTAGGCAATGCCTTGATCAAACCATGCCTGAGTCCCACCTTGATTTAGACCCTTTGGTTGCTGGGCCTTTGCTTCCCCTCTATTTGTTCAGCAGATTAGAATTGTTTGCTGTTGTTGACAACCCATAGTACCCACCCTGAAATAAGTGCTTTCTCCCGTGTTATATTACAAGCCCCCAAAGGGCTGGGGTATATTTGCCTTGTCCAAGTGCGGCTCTCTGGGGGGACCCCGTCCCGCGGGGAATAGGAGGTGAGAGCCGCCTCTTATTCGTGGGTCATCAGAGGCCGATCCGATCTTGAATGTCTGTGGAGGAAATCTTTAAGAAGTTAGAGTACACGGCCCAAGTCTGGTTTCTGATCAAAGGCGCTTTATTGGCTCAGCAAAACGATTATATACTGTTATCCCAGGGGGAGGGTTCAGCAAGCTTATTGGACAGCTCAAGCAAATCCTCTACCAATCACATGAGTCATTCAAGCATTTAACCATACAGCAATCAGTATTTTACCAAATGTGGGGAGGGGTAAGTGCACAATCCCTAGGGGCAAGTAGGACGGGGAAAATACCACCTGCTTCCTGCTCCAGATCCGGTGACCCTGTGGTTAGCACAAAGGGCTATTTTTTCTGTAAGATTTCCTGTTTTGCCCAGGGGCTAGACCTGCCAAAGGTCACGTATGTAGTCTAGTGGGATTTTTCCACTGAGGCAAAGGCTAAGGTTGAGGGCAGCCATCTTATGCAGGCCCAAGCAGTCTCTCACATCCAAGTTCACACACCGCCAACTCTTATACAGTTTATTTTTATTGCCAAAGTTTAAGACTAAGAGGTCTAGATTTTTCCCTTTTCTGAAACAACTGGAAGGCTTGGGCTCTTGCATGGGAAATGGGGCCGATCTGAGAGCCAGCAGCCCCCTTCACACAGAGAAGTTGCTCTGCAGGGCTCTGGACCCTTGGAGTAGTGGGAGCAGAGAGATCCCCTTCCCCAGAAATTCCTCTTCGCAAGCTGTGCAAAGGGCTCATTTACATGACATGCCTGCCCCCTACAGGCCAGTGAGTTTGCAATAGGCCAGGCCAGGAACCAAAGGGTGAATGAATGACCCTAGGCCTCTTCCATCATCATCATCATCATCATCAATTTGCAGTACTGGTGGCCAATCTCAAGGGTGCTCTACCAGCAAGCTACACCCCCATCCCTTTTTAGTTTTTGTTTTGAGACAAGCTCTAAGTTGGCCTCAGACTTGTAATCCTCCTGCCTCAGCCTTCCCAGTACCCGGCGTCATGAGCATGTGCCACTGCATCTGCCTTACTGCCCCAATTATTATTATTATTTTTTGGTACCGGGGATTGAACTTGGGATGTTGTGCTTGTGAGGCAGGTGGTGGCACCACTGAGTTAAATGCCCAGTCCCTACTCCCCAATTCTTTTTTTATTTTTTATTATTTATTTTTTGGTACCGGGGATCAAACTTGGGTCCTTGAGCTTGCGAGGCAGGCGCCGGAACCACTGAGCTAAATCCTCAGCCCCCTACTCCCCAATTCTTAACACGGTACACAGCACATAAGTTTCAAATATTTTGATTTCTCTTCTAAGGAAATATGAATTTAAATGGCTTGCTCTTTATATGGTGTGGTTTCTAAGTGAAACAAATCTTTACACGCAACATTTATTTCTAGTGTGCAGTTTTCCCCTTTTTTTTTCTTTTTTTTTCTGCCTTAGCTGGGAGAATTGAAAAAATCTCTTTAAAGTGAAACCTTTATGAATTCTGTCCAGCAGAGGGAGCCAGCGACAATGAAGAGAGAGAGAGAGAGAGAGAGAGAGAGAGAGAGAGAGAGAGAGAGAGGCGCTTGGGGAGAACATGGGGTCTGGGGGGCGCTCCTTCACCCCGGACAAACTCCCCTTTTCTTTTCCCGGCTACTTCATCTTCTGACAAGACAGTGACTTTATGTGGTTCAAAATAAAAGTACAATAAAAAGATAGCGAAATCTCCCTCCCACCCCTGCTGGCTTCCACATCTCCAGTTTCTCCCGCTCCTCCCTCTGTCACTTTCTGTCTGAGGTCTCTACACACACACACATCTGTGCACATGCACACACACTCACAGTAACACGCTCACCCCAACCTTCTGGTCACTTTCCCAAAGAGCTGTCCAAGTCCTCTTCTGCGTCTGTACAGAAAGGTGTGAAAGGCGGGCCGGTCAGCACCCAAGGGTGCGTCCTCGTTCCTCACATCCGGCGCCCGCCAGCTGTGCCCTCCTGCTCTTCCCTGGAAGGGGACGTGTTCTGAGTCCCTTTGGGAAATCGGGGCAGCCGGGACGGCACAAAGAGCCGGTCCTCATCTCTCTGCCTCTTAGGCGGGCACTCATCCAGTCCCCTCCCGGTGGGCACTCGGGCCTCACTTCCACAACCAGAAGGAAAGCAGCAAATAACCCTAAAGGTATCTTACCTGCCCGAAAGGAGAGCTGTAGCAGTGACTCGGCCCACCTGCAGAGAGAGTCACCCGTGGGACCTCAGAAGACCTCAACAGCAGGGCGCACCTCACCCTGGGTGCCAGGATCCAGCCAGGGACCTGCCAGGGAAAACGATTTGGAAGTTGTGCCGGATGTGGTCACATGGCCTGCCCAAGGAAGGCCTCGGTGCATTGGCGGGCCTCGGTCTACACAGCCCAGCGGCGGTGAACCTTTCACAGCTTTCAGAGGCTGAGCTTTGGTCCATGTGCCATTGACAGCTGTGTAACTTCTTGACTTTTGCGTGCTATATCATTGTCATCATCATCATCATCATTTTACAACTGTGCTGGGCTTGCTCTAGGTGGCCTCTCCTCGGGGGTGAGGTTGGATATCTTTTCAGGTGTCTCCAGCCATTCGATCTGGCCGGTCACATCTGTGCGGGTTTCCTTCGGTGAGGTGGGCTTCTCCTTACCATTGACCCCGATTCTTTGTGATCGGAGTGGCAAAGGCTGCTCACGGCTGTGGCTTTTCTTCCCACCGTTTGTACGCCGTAGTGTTTTTTCTCTTTGGTCTTTGAATGTATCCATCTTTTGACAGCTTCTGGCTGGAAAGACCTCCCCTGCGGATCCAGGCTTACCCTAGCAAGCTGCCCAGTCTACTTCTGATGCCCTTGGGGTTCCTTTATTCACACGTCCATCTTTGATCCTTCCTCACACGCACCCTGAGCAGGGGTGTGGGGTGAATCGTTCCTGCTTTACTGTCGAGTGCCCACTTGTCCCTTACCTTTATCCAGGAGTCCAGGAGGTAGCGCAGTGGCTGCCCTGAGCAGGAGTTTTACGTTTTGTTCACAGCAGCATCTGCTCCCACTTGTCTGTAGTCCTGGCCCTGTCCGCCTAGCCATGCACCCGCGCACGCCTGGGCCTATTCACTTATTTCCTTCTGTTGCGCTCAGCAGGGATGCTAATGTTTATTACACATTGTACCTGACCCACTCACTGGGTTTGCGTTCAGGATTTATTTTCATCACTTAATAACTAACAGTGGCCTTTCTTGGGTGTCTCATCTCCGTTTTCACCCGTGTCATTTCAGCTGCACCGGCCCTGTCACCTTCCCGGTTTCAGAAAGCAGACTCAGGTCTCAGGCTTGTCCGGGACCGGACTGGATGGTGACAGCGCCAGTGCAGTCCGGGAGCCTGGTCCTGGGCAGGCTGCCTTGCAGAGGGAAAGAGGAAGTCAGCTCTTGCTGGGGTGGGAGGGTGGACAGGGAGAACAGGGCTCCCACCCTCTTAGAAGCAGTCACTGTCTCCCGCTCCTACTTACAACGCCCCCAACTCCACGCTGGGGTGGGGCGGTGGCCACTGCATTAGGTCATCCACTGGGAGGTCGCCCGGCTCAGCAGCCAGGACAAGCGGTGGCGGGGAACACAGAAGGGAGACGCTGGGGCGGGGGAAGGCCAACAAAGTGAGGGGAAGAGGGCCAGGGCCCGGGCTCAGGGGCCAGGTGAGCAGGGAAAAGGAAGGAGAGAGAGAGGGGCAGGTGAGGGGAGGAGCGAAGCGAGGAGAGGGAGGGAGGAGAGGAAGGGAGAACAGGGAAAAGCCAAGAGGGAGGCCGACATCAGAGTGGAGTGTCGCTGGGTGAAGGCAAGGAGATGGGTTGGAAGTAGGTAAAGGGGATGCAAAGGAGTCCAGGGAGGAGGCTCCTTGAATTGAAGCGGGGTTGGGAGCGGAGGACGGGTGGGGA